TATAGTTTTTTAGAATTTAGGAATTCGAAAAATTCTTTATTCTAATTAAATTAATTCGTGCAAGAGAAAATAAAAATTTTTAGAATTAAATAAAATCTAATAAGAAGATAGGTTGTACATGGAACAGTTTAGAACATTGAAAAAAGAATACAACTACTCTAATTATAATAAATTCACGACATACGTAGAAAAGATTCAATATAAACTAATTTTTTTTTCAGCCCAAATAAGCAATACGGTCAAATGGGTGAGGATAATATAGCGAATCGAATACCTCATGGTTTAGTAAGCGACATTTAAAATAGAAATTGAATGATAAATAAATTATGAGAAATTTTGATTCGTCACATTTAAATTCTAACTTTACCATTATCGTTATATTTATACCCATTACAGTACATTAATGAATGAATGAATGAATGAAATGAAATAAACAGAACAACATATAGCGATATAAATAACAAGATTAAAATTTTATACGCAATTCATTAACAAAAATTATATATATTCCCTTTTTATTTATCGAAAAACATTGAAACACCAATTATTTTACCTTCATTATAATAAACTTTTTTAACACAAATTTTAGGTATAGTAACAACAAACAATCTTTTAAATATACATATTAACCAAATATATAATACAAATTAATAAATATATAAGTAATATGTAAAACCAAACATAATTAAAAATTTTACCTTAATTTTTATGAAATCTAAATATTTTGATCAGTACATAACTGATAAGTACGCACTATACGTATCTGGTATACGTAGTATGTACGTACTATCTGCTATATAGCTGATAGTATGTACATACGTACGTACGTATGTACTGTATTTATGTACAGTACTACGTATACGTATTTATTTTATCTTTACGATTATTTAAAGTCTCGTGATTTCAATAAAGAACCAATCATTATTTATAAGTTATGATAAGTTTTTTTTTACATTTATTACATTTATTACATTTATTACAGTATTAATCAAAAGATCAAAAGACCAAGGAACTTTTATTTTTAAGTAACACAAAAAACTAAAAATAAACCGAATTAAACTATTGTAACATTGATAAATTTTTTTTGTTGTTTAAAAAAATAACATTTTAAAAAAATATGTTTAAATTAGATTGGTTGAAAAATAATGCATTGTAGATATATGATATTCATAAATACAGAAAATAAATCTTATATTTAATATTCGTACGTACGTACAGTGTACAGTACGTACAGTACGTACGAATATAATTTACACATTTACACGTGATAATTTTGTTCATTTATATTACTTATTTAGGTCATTTTCTTTGTGCCTTATTTTCCTTATTTTTGTAAATTTCCTTATTTCTGTAACAGTTAAGACAGTACGTACATACATAGTGATCAAAAGTAGTTATTTCAGATACATTCGTATCTAATATCTGGTTATCTGGTATGCACATATGTACAGTACATACCTACCTGATACGTATGTACATATTGTACTTACGTGCCTAATCTAATTTTTTTTTGATGCAGTAATTGCGCAAGAAAAAACGCCATGCATTAACGATATACTTATAAAGTGTTCAGTAATGCATGCAGAGTTTATAACATATCAATGCGCTTATATGATATTTCATCTTTTGATTGGCTAGGATTGTCGATCATGTGATAATTAAAGCTTGGCTGCATCAATAGATCCAAATTTATCGACAAAGAAATTTTTTTTTTGTAAAACCAATTATAAACAGTAATAACGATAAATCTTTTTTTTTTTATTTAAAATTTTTTTTTTAGATCAGCATTTTGTCATATGATCGGCGAGCATTCGATCCTCGCGCAGTTCGTTTATATCGATCATCAAAAGCTGTCAAATTTTAAAGATCTGATTTACTACATACATGCATATCGATATGATATGTTAGAAAGCTGATTCTATTACTATACAAAATTTATTGATTTTTTTTTCTTTTTTTTTTCAAATAAAGTACAGAGTAAAAATCAACCAAAAATGCATCAAAATTTCAAATGATTAACCAAAAATGTATGGATTTCAAAATTTTTTTTTTTTTAATCGCTCTTATCTGTTATATATTTATAAAAAAAAATCATACAAATCAGCTAAGATTTTGATGGATACATGCGGAATGATAATTGTTTATCAAACAATGAGAATTGCGGTACATTTTGACCCTGATCCGTGTTTATCATACCCTCATTCATCTTATTTTTATTATTCAAAATTTTGCCTTTCAAATTTCTTCCCCGTATCATTTCATCTGTTATGTCCAATTCTTTCTCTGTTGTTGTTGATGTTGTTGTTGTTGTAAATGTTTCTCCTTTTTCTTGATCATTAACGTTAGGTATTCTACCAAAATTTGTTAAAGGACGCGTTTGTGATGAAATATTAGAATTTCGTCGATCATGATTCGTTAAAGTTGAAAAAGGTGATGATGCAAACATTGAAATGGATGATGTTTCATTTGATGTAGATATTGGAGAAGATGGTGTAGTAGAGGTTCCACGATAATTTGATGATGTTAACATCGGTGAAGAAAACAGTGAAGCTGATGTATTTGATGTCCA